CCTAAACCTTTCTAAAACCTATAAGCTTTGTGGCCCACCTTAATTATCACCTTCTCTGTGAAACCATCCATACATATTTGTTAATTCCTACAGCATATACCTCCCATTCAATACAAAGATGAAGAGAACATGACCCCATGTCCTTAAGGAACTACATATGATAACATCACCACAACCCAGTGTATTGTATTTACTACATACCAGGGAGTAGTACTGGTATGTAGTACTACTTTTACTTTTTTATTTCTAATCCTCACCCAAGGATATTTTTTCCATTGCTTTTCAGAAAGTGGAAGGGAAAGAGAGCTAGAGAGAGAAACATCGATGTGAGAAAGATACATGGATTGGTTGCCCCTCCCATGCACCTCAACAGGGGCCAAGAATCGAGCTTGCAACTGAGGTATGTGACCTTGGCTTGAATCGAACCTGGGACCCTTCAGTCTGCGAACCAATACTCTAACCACTGAGCCAAACCAGCTAGTGCATATTTTACTTATCATTTTACTTATTTAATCCTCACAAAAACCCAATGAAGGAGTTACTACCAGTATACCCATTTTATAGACAAAGAAACTGAGGCTCAGAGAAATGAAATAACTTGTCAAAGATTACACAGCTAGTAAAGTTCAGATAATAATAGAACCACAGTCTCTTGTAAAAGAGATCAAACATTTAGTGACTAACCACAAAACAATGTATATTGAATTCTTACTATGCAAGCTATTGTGTCATGTGCTATATTAAAAGATAGAATAATTAGTAAGGTAAAAAATCTGTTTTATTTAGCATTTCTGCCAGTCTTTTCTGATTGGTGATAATTTTGTGCTTAAATACTGCTTCCTAAACTAAAATGTCTGCAAAGTGTTTACAATACTGAGTGAAAATTAAACAAATACGCAGATAATCCTAATACAAGACATAGAGAAGTGCCAGGAGAGACCCATAGATACAGTTCTAGATCCCATCTGGAACTGACATATGGGACTGGAGACTTGGAGTTAGATTCAGGCTTAATGGGGGGAAGAAAGTGAGTTAGAAAAGATGACCTGACAGAGTTTAATATTTGTGATGGCAAAATGACTATGGTGAAGAAAGATTGCCTCAGACAGAGGAGGTGCATGAACAGAGGAAATGAGAGAGAAAAGTCAAGTATCTTTCATGGAAAGGCAAATCCAGATGGAATGAAACATAAAAGTGCCTAGGTATGAAGAGTGGTGGACCTGTCTGGAAAGGCTGGGTTGAGACCTGTCAGGAACCTAACCACAAATGGAAGAATTTGGACCTATTCAGTGAGGGGAGAAGTTCCCTAAAAGGCAAATCACACAACTGGACTGTTGCTTTAAAAAGCTTAATTTGTGTGCAACTTATGATGGAGAAATGCAAACAAGATGAGAAAAACACAGCAGTGAAAGCAAAAAAGAAGGAAGGATACAGTAACGTGGAGGGGCTGGATTCTCTCTCATAATTGCTCATAGCACTCCCTGACTAGCCCGTGTCTTGACCCACGACTATATTTAATTACCTATGTTTAATTTATCATTTTTGTTTCTTCCTTTGATCCCTGACTTATGGCAATGAATATACTTTTGAGCTTCTGACTGGAGGTTCATAGGTTGAATTAGGAGCTCAATACCACTAATATAACTATTGAGTCTATAGTACTTACTACACTTTAAGCATGTAGAAGGAGTTTAATAACTATTAAATTGTGAATTATTGTTAAACTGAATGAGAACTGCTGGGCTCCCAACTTCATTTTTCAGATCTATAGATACATGTTTTGGTCCTAACTAATATCCCTCACAACAAAAGAGTTCCAACTTTGTAGTGCAAGTCATGTGTAGGCATGGATTAGTTTCGGAGCAAAGTCTCATTGCAAAAAGAGGCCTGTCATTCCTTCAGAATAACTTTGCAGCCTTTCAAACTTGTAATTGAAGCTTTGAAAGTACATTTTAAAATTATTTTTCTGTTTTCCATGAATTAAGTGCTTAACAAGGCTTAAGGCTAATGAACAATTTTAAGTCTCAGTGTTCAAATAATTGCTTTAGTCCATTGGGCTCTGACTCTAGGCTTCACTGTCACCTCTCCATGCCCTCAGAGCCCACAGGTAAAGTAGAACAAATTAAAGAAGGTTCCACCTTGAAATGTACACAATACCGTTTCCTGGGCTGGTGCATTCTCTAAGATTACTTTCTAGCTACAGGAGGGAAGAACAGAAATAAAACAAAACACAATTGCAAGAACTTGCCAAAACTAATGACATCTTGTGATTCTACAGCTGGTATCTCAGAATGACTGAAGGAAAGGGAAAGTTTCTTTTTCAAAATTCCTGTTTCATATGTCTGAAAACAAGTGACTAATTGACCCAGAGATCTCTGATGTTTCAGTGTCAGAGATCTTGGAGGGGAAGTATGCTCTTGCAAGTTCAGAAAGATGAAAAGAAGAAAAAGACAGAAAAGCAAAAAAAAAGGTTCTTGTAGAATTTTAAATTCCTTCTTTTTGTTTTTTAAGGTCAAACTCTAGGAAAGGAAAAAAAAATACATAATTTGAACTTTCAGTAAAAGTATCTCTTGATTTGGATGTTTAAAAGGTATGAAGAGTTTGCCCTCTTTCTCTCTTTCTTGGGTATTCACTTCATGTTCTCAAGATGTCAGTGCAGAAGAATCAGTACATTCTGTCTATAGACATCTTTGTGACATTCAGAGACAGTCCCAGAAACCAGAATCATAAACATGTACAATCAGAAGCATTTCCACTAACATAATCACACATTTTAAAAGGCATATCTCAAAGTATTTCTTGTTTAGTTTATAAAAAGCTTGAAGGCATAGAAGAGAGAAAATGAAATAAAGGCCAGTTTGGAAAGTCCACTTTGGCAGAAAGTGAAGATAAAGAATTTTCATAACTCTGGCCTACTCGATTTTCCTCCAGGTCTTGCATATTTAGGTTCCCAAATAGAACACATGATAAAACAAAACCCTCTCTATCACATGGCAGATAAACAAAAGGATTCCCAGAGAAACTGGAATTATTTTTTAGAACTTTGCTTATTCTAATGGGCAGGTTTTTGTGAGTAAGAACAACAAGGAAACAAAAGCTTCATTTTTTAGTTAAAAATAGAATCAGAAAACTTAGTGTCAACTGAACAGCAACTCTTCTCAGGCAACCAAATTCTACTCTCTGTTTGACATTTTCATTTTGCCTAATGCTATCACCTTGGGATACATGTATTCCCACTGTTTCTCTTTAGACCATCTGACAATTCCTTTTCTCTTTCTGAAGAAACAATATTGTTTTTCAAAGTACAACCAGGATTAAGCTTCTGGCAACATGGCAAAGTCTAGACAAATGAAATAAAAGCACCATTCTAGTAGTTACAATATTTAGGGCCTCATTAGTTGAAAAGAGCAAATGTTACACAAAGGTAACCTATCAAAAAATACAAGCTTTTTTCTTAGAGTAGATTTATAATGGATCTACTGGGAGATGTTCCTAGCATTTAAATTTTGTGTTAAAAGTAGATAATTGTGAGTACCATGGTAGTGGAATAGATTCAGTGCCCATTAATACAAAGAGGGCAAAGTGATCATTAAAACAGTGCTCCATAGAGATGAGAGCAAATACCAGAAGATATGTAGCACATGCCTCTCAGACTTGCTCACATTAAATACATTCATTGGTTTCCATTTGGATCATTTTAAAATGGAACTGTTGCTGTTTTCCTCATATATATAAGAAGTCCTCTTGTATAATAAAACAGAATGATACTAAGCCAGTGAGGCTAGAGATACTTTGTGACCAAATCAGAGAGTGATATTAAAAAAATGTGAAGGGATTAGCCAAAAACCTTATATACTTAACACATAGACACTGACAGCAGTGTGGTGATAGCCAGAGGGAAAGAGGGTTGGGGGATAAGTGGAAGTGGGCAGAGGCAAGGGAAATGGGGACCGAAAGAGACTTTGCTTGGGTGATGGGCTCATGATGCAGTGTGCAGATGATGTTTTGAGTTGTATGCTGAAACCTTTTGTGAAACAATGCCACTCCAATAAATTCAATTTAAAAAAAAATGCTCACAACCCAGAGGCTCATGTAGGCAGAGCCAGCACCAGGCAAAAAGCTTAGTTCCTGCCCTGGCTGTTTTGGCTCAGTGGTTAGAGCGTCCACCCATGGACTGAAAGGTCCTAGGTTCGATAACGACCAAGGGCACATACCTTGGTTGCAGACTCATCCCTGGCCCCAGTCAGGGCGAGGGAGGCAACCAATGGATACGTCAATGTTTCTCTCTTTCTCTCTGCCACTCTCTCTGAAAAGCAATGGAAAAAATATTGTCGGGTGATAAGCTTAGTTCCTGAATCTCAGCTTCTCTTAGAGCAGTTTCTCCCCACACCCATCCCATCACTGTCTTCTGCCCCCTCCTCCCCTTTCTCTCAGAAAAAAATAATAAATAAATAAATAAATAAATAAATAAATAAATACACCTTTCTCTCTCTCTCTTTTTTTTTTTTTTTTTTTAAAGCTACAGATTAATCTGACATGGTTTATTCTTATCCAAAGTACAAAAAAACCCAATCATTACACTTTTTATTTTCAATTCCACTACCTCATGATTCCAAGTGTTTTTTCTTTTTATTTCAGCAGCATCTTTTATATCTTACAAAGTATTTCTCAACCTGCTGGGATTGCTAACTTGGAACTCAGACCACTGAAGCAGGACAAAAAATCTGACAAAAACAAAAGCCCCATGCTCTCACTACAGATTGTGTCTCCTGGGACAGACTATCAAAACTATTAGTATTTCAATAACTGGGTATCAGAGAATTCTGAATTTTTAGAGACAGTTTTTCTCCTAATGAAAAGATAGCATTGCACAAAATGGACAGAAATATATAATGAATATATTTTGCAGGGAAATGTGAATTTCTTGAATACAAGCATCAAATAATGAAAAAATTATATGTAGTTATTTTTTCTCCCTAGTTAAGTCTTTTCCGGCTTACCTGTGGTATAACTCCAAAGGCTTTTCTCCACTCTTGCAAAGTTATTGAATCCCAAGACACACCATCTATTTGAATTTCTCCTTCGGTGTTCAACAGTCTCAAAAAAGCTGATAACAAAGTGCTCTTCCCTGATCCAGTTCTTCCCAAGAGGCCCACCTAGAATATAAGTGATGGCATTATTCTTGTGACATACAGGTACACGACCATAATAGTAATCTGGTATTATACTTCAATAAAAAAAACATAGGAACTGTTTTATATGTGTTTTTTTAAATATATCTTTATTGATTTCAGAGAGGAAGGGAGAGTGAGAGAGAGATAGAAACATCGATCATGAGAGTCATTCATCCGCTGCCTCCTGCACACCCCCGGCTGGGGATGGAGCCAGCAACCCGGGCATGTGCCCTGACCGGGAATTGAACCCCAATCTCCTGGATCCTAGGTCGATGCTCAACCACTGAGCCTCACCCGGTTGGGCAGAATGGTTTATTTTTAAATCACCACTGGTGGAGGATTTTTACTTATTTATTCGAACCTTTTTTGTACTCCCAATTCTGACTGATATTTATCTGGAACTAAATACAGAAACTGGCCATAAGTAATTGACCCCATAGGCTGGCTTCACTTATCCCTGACCTTCAGTAATAGCAAAAAGGTTGAAAATGCCCATTTTCCATGAAGGAGAAGCAAAGATACAGTGTCTGAATGCACATCATTTCTAAGGGTGGGCTCAAGCCACATGCACAGACCTATAGTCTGATCTAGTTACAAACATAAATACAAGCTTGAAAATTCATGAATATGAAATAGTCCCCATACTTAGATACTGTCCTTTATACATAAGCAAGCATCAAGTTTAGGCCTGACAATAAGACTAAGTTCAGTGAGCTACACATTCCCAGAGAAGGCAGGTTGGACAGTTGTCAAATCAAATTCTTACATCCATACTGACTGACAAGAAGATAATTTTTGGAAGCAAAATCATATTAAAGAAAAGCAAAAACTATTTTTGTTACCTAAGGACCGTAAGAGTATAGTATGGAAGTGAGAACGCCATGCACAGCAAGGGGAGAGCAGGAGCTACAGGAGACTTACAGAGAGCCCACCTCTGTGTTCTGATGTCAGCTCAGACCCAGCACTTGGAGGAATGTGTTTTGAGTGAGATCAAACATTCCTACAGTTATTTAATGAGTAAACAGCCCAACATTTAGTGGCACTGATTAAATGTTCATTTCCTTCCCCTTAACATTAACCTGTGTTTTTGTTTTGTTTCGTTTTTTATCATTTAGCCATTTTTACAGTAGAACTGAGCAAATGGTCTTTTAGAGTAGTGATTTTCACATTACCTGTGGTAAAGGACAGTTATATTTTGTTTTGTTTTTTAGTTTCTAATCCATGGCAAATCAGTACTTTAAAAATCAGATAATAAAAGTGAATTTCTAAGTGCTTATTCTTAATTTTTATACTTATTACAGAAGAGTAACAGTTTGTAAACCAGAATGAGTTCACAGACACAATAAATGCTCTAGAGCATACAACGATCTTTAATAATAATAACAACTTATAAATCACTTACTAGGAACCTGGTAATAAACTAGGCCTTTGGGATAAACTGGTAAACAGTAATGACACAATTGTCTTTCTTTCATAAGAGCTCTATATTGAGGCTTTAAAAAATGTATGGCCTGGCCGGCCATGGCTCAGCAGTTGAGCATCCACCTAGGATCCAGGAGATGGAGGTTCGACTCCCAGTTGGGGCACATGCCCGGGCTGCAGGCTTGATCCCCAATCGGAGCGTGCAGGAGGCAGCCGATCAATGACAACTCTCTCATCATTGATGTTTCTGTCTCTCTCTCCTTGTCCTTTCCTTGCTCTGAAATCAATAAAGATATATTAAAAAAAAGAAAAGTATGTTCTCCATTTTGATGGCTGCCAGATGGAAGGGGTATTGGGGGATGGGTAAAAAAGGTGAAGGGATTAAGAAGTACAAATTGGTAGTTACAGAACAGTCACAGGGATGTAAAGTACAGCATAGGGAATATAGTCAATAATATCTAATAACTATGTATGGTATCAGATGAGTACTAGATTTATCAGGGTAATTACTTAGTAAGTTGTATAATGTCTAATTGCTAGGTTATACAACTGAAGCTGATTTAATGTTATATGTCAACTGCAATTGAAAAATAAAAAGTTTAAAGTTAAAAAATGTTCGTTCTTTGAGATAACTGCGAAAATCCGATAAATCAAATGCTATACACAAAACTCCTTTGAGGTTCTTCATACAACTAATCACAATCAGTAATTATTTATTCTTTTCTTGACTATTGCTTGTGTTAGCCCCAAGAATATAAATTCTTCAAGGGCACAGTAATCTATCTTATTTCCCCTTGAATTCTCAGCACCTGGCACAATAGTTGGCCCATATAAACTGCTCAATATATACTTCTTTGGATTGACTGAGGGGCAGCCAGATAAAAGGATGAATGGATAGATGGGTAGAGAATGGATAGATGGATGGATGGATGGATGGATGGATGGGAAAAAGAGAAGAAGGGAGGGAAGTAGAGATGGAGGGAAGGAGGGAAGGAAAGGCAGATGAATGAATAAACCTATTTAGTTGATCTAACAAACAAATGGATTTGGGTAATTTGGTCAATTTCTAGGTCAATGGTTAATTTAAAAATCTTATGAAATTTCATGTGCAACTTCCATTTCTGAATCAGTCCATGTTGTACAAGCCCATTCACTATATGTCATGATTATTTGAACACAACAGTGAAGCTTTGTATAAGCAATCTGAATATGCCTTGTATAGGTGAGGTATGGAGGAAGAGAAGAAAAATTCAATAGGAGGAAGTAATTTTCTCTAAAGTCATATCCTAAGAATTTTTGATAAAAAGTGCCTTGAGGTCCAGGCCCCAAATCATTGGTCAGGATTTTAATGACTAGGATAAATGACATGTTCCCTTTCCTTAAAAAGAAAATACTAATTTTTAGAGAATTCAGTATTTATGTTGGGATGACACTAGATTCATAGGCAATTTATTAATCTTTTGTTTAGCTTTAAAATTTTTAGCTATTGCTCTGATTCCTTATATTATTGAACTGTTGGTATTGCAGTATGTTTAACATGTTTTTCATTCAACACCAAGGAATCTTACTGGTGTGTACCTAACAAAGTCTTCTTGTTATTTATATAATTGGCACTTACTAATTTTTTTCCGGGATCTGTTTTGCCAGGCTTATCAGTGACCTGTTGAATAAGCCACAGCACTTCCCGCAAATAAGCTTTTAAGATCTATGCTAATTTCAAGTCAGTGTTTTCTCCTAACTTCAATGCACCTCCTCCCTGAGAATTTTGGATCAAGATAAATCAAACTATTATGTGGAGAGTTAAACAGTGTTAGGTTTGGTGCTAGTTGTAATTGCATTGTACCGTGAATAGAACAGTCTCAGTACCTTCTTTTTAGAGTAACTGAGTCACCATTTTAACACTGCAACAGATTGTTGTAGTTATTTTTCATCTCCTAGTGGTCTTCAGAAATGAAGATGCCAAATCAAATAAAATTTCAATCCCCAAATGATAATAACTGCACCTTATATATCTTGACATATCTGTTTAATAATAAAACACAATCCTTAATATAATAAGTTCTTGAGAATATGCTCTTCATAAACTCAATATTATAAGCTACCGAATGATTCAGCTATTATTTCACAATTGTTTTAAAAAATGTGTTTTTATTAATTGTTAGAGAGAGGAAGGGAGAGGGGGTAGGGGAGAGAGAAACATCAATATGAGAGAGAAACATCAATCAGTTTCCTCTAGTACTCATCCTGACCGGGGACTGAACCCATAACCTAGACATGTGCCATGACCAGAAATCTAACCAGTGACCTTTTGGTGCACAGGACTATGCTCAATTGAGCCACACTGGCCAGTACTCACAGCAATTTTTATCAAGATAGATGCCATGTATATAAAAAATTAAATAAGCATCTAGGTGCTTGTGCTGCTATTATCTGAACCTTTCCTATTGCTTTGTTTCTGGCATCTCAGTATTTTGAAGTGACTACAAATAGAGAAGGTAGGTAAGCTCACCCGAAAGAATAGATCTTGAAGTACTATTAAATATTTATGTAATAAGATGACCGTCTAGTACTGTGATATATACAATATGCCATTTGAGACATTTTGATAAGTTCAGGTTTATCATGAAAGACTGGGCTCCAAGTTAAAATCTGTCTGTATTTTAAGAGGAAAAAGAAAAGGAAAAAAAGAAGAGAGATTCTAGTTGAGGGAAGATGATATGGATATTAAAATTTAGCGAAAAACCCCCAAACAAACAAAAACTATTTGAGATTGAAAAGAAAAATAGATTTTTTAAAGTAAAAGTTGTAAAATAGTTGCTACATTTCTTATATATTGAAAATAAAATTTAGATTCCAAGATGTCTGCAGAGTAGGTAGAAGCTACACTCCATGCTCCCAGAGCCAAATCAGATTTATAGCTAAATTATAGAGCAACCAACCTGAATAAATAACCAAATGAAGGCTAGCTGAACTGAAGTATTAGTAACCAAGGATTTACAGAAGAGGCCACAAAGAGACTGGTAAGAATGGCAGAAAAACAGAAAGGGCTAGACCCTACACCTACATGCAGTGCCTGGGAAGCTGGAGAAACATCTCAGCTGAAAAATTCCCTCCCCCCAGGAGTGAGGGGTCTCAACCCCATGCAGGGATTCCCAACCCAAAGCAACAGAGATGGGAAGAGAGCCCACATAGCATCTGGTGGTGAAAAATTAGTGGGGACTCAATCTTGAAGGGAGTATGCTAAAGATCCAGATGTCACCTTCTGAGGGCCAAGCACTCCTACTGTACCAGCACCAGCCTAAGAAGTGCACTGCCCAGTCTTCCAGGTACTGGCAAAAACATCCTGCTGTGCTCGAGTCCTATAGAGGAGTCTGCTGGCTGCACTCAGCAGGGAACTTTGAGGTGCTCTTTTTCTAAAGAAGCTCTTGGTGGAGACTCAGAGAGTGACTGAATGGTATAGCTTTGGAAAAGAGACCATTCTTCCCCACCTCAAGTGCACAGCCAGTGCCTTGCCTCCACCTGTTGAATCACTGGGCTTACCATTCCACTCTGTGGTTCTG